GAAAAACACCCTGAGTCTGAACGCTGTACCCCCATCACTGTGACATGGGGGCCCCCATGGGGCACAAGTGCTGGCCCACACCACACACTTCATGCACAGAAGCTGGTGGCTACCAGGTAGAGCTGTCAGGTGGTGATGCACCCACCCAGCCAGGAGGTTGGTGTCCTACCCAGTGTAGCCTCCACTGGATGTGCCCCTCTCTACCCAGGGTGGCCTGTGGGCCCTGAGTGGCCCCTCCTTGGCCCAGTGAGGCCTCCACTGGATGTGCCCCTCTCTTTTGAGGGCGGCCTGCAGGCCCTGATCACCTTCCTGTGTGTCCTGCCTCGGTTCGGTGCCCTCCATCCTCGGACGTGGGCCATCAGAACCACAGGTGTGGAAAACATGCCCATGTCATGGGGGTGAGGACAATGGTATTATGACGGATAACAAGAATGGCAGCCACACAGGCCCGGATCACCAGGTATGTGCCGGGCCCTCCAGGAGCCATCACCTGAGATCTCCAAAGACAGCCTGTGGGAAAGACCCATGCCCTCCACATCCTGGGGAGCATGCTGAGGCCAGGCCACAGCCGATGGGAGACAGAGCCATGGCCCACCCCAGGCTGTGGGGCCCAAGCTGACAAGGCCCAGCACCCCCACTATAAGGTGGGGCATGAGAGTGCAGCTGGGAGCCAGATGAGGACAATGGTGCTGAGGCCCCAGCTCCTTGGTTCTAGGCCCACAGAAAAGCACAAGGAATGCACTCGGGGGATGGGGTGGGAGGCCACGGCTGCAGGTGGGGTCAAGGACTGTGCCGTCCACCTGCCCCAACTCCTGTGGCTGCACCAATAGCCACAGAGCTCCCTCTGCCACCCTATCTGGAGTTCCATGGGGTCTGCCCAATTTCTGTCTTCACTTGAGAACATAGCAACATATTCAAGCCTCATTTTGCCTCCCAAGAATGGAGCATCTGAGCTCCTCCTTCATGCACAGGCTCCCTGTGGGTCTCACTTTCCCCATTTCTAGACTGGATGGGAGGGCTTGCAGCAAAAGAGGCCCCACCCCGCTGCTTCCAGCCCCTTTGGCAACACGAGGGCACACAGTCGGCCCTAAGGAGTGCTGGACAGCTCTGGGATCTTAGGGAGATCCAGAAAGGCCGGCGCCACAGTGGGGCCCAATGATGGCCCTCCCAGAAAAGCTGTACAAGACCTCCCAGGCCTTGTCTCCCAGCCTCAGCACCAAGGGAGGGCAGTGGCCAGCTCTAAGGGGTAACGAATTGTCTTTCCTCACCAACCAGCTGTGAACTAATTACATGAAGTTCTAACTAGCTAGTAACTAATAACTAGTCAAGCCCCTCTCCAAGAATATGTTCCCAATTAAGTCAGACTGCAGCTGACTGTAATCAATCTTCCCTGAAGCGGCCCAACATGAAGAATTCTCCGGAGGGAGTAGAAGCAGGGAAGAGGAGAGGGCATCCACCTACACAGGGGATGCAGTAGTGGCAGCTGGCTCCTGCTAACATGGCTCTCAAGCACTCTTCAGGGCTGGCTGCTGCCAGGAGCCACCCTGCAGGCAGCCCGTCTTCCTGTCGGGAGCAGTAGGTCCCAGGCCTGTGCAGCAGGCCTGTGTGGCTCTCAAAAGCAGCCAGTAGAAAGACACGAGGGCCCAGGCCAGCACCCCAGGATGGGCCCCCTGCACTCCACCACAGTTGCCCAAAGGCCTGAGGTGTCCAGGTTCAGGGATGGAGGTAAAGTGGTGAGGCTCTGCCCTTGGTGATGGGAGAAGCAGGAAGGGCCACAATGGGCATGAGCGTCTATGCAACAGCCGCTGTGTGCCAGGTGTGTGCTAAAGCCATGGCCTTTGATCTCCCCAACACCCTCAACGGGGACATCATGCCCCCCAGCTTTATAAAGGACGTCATGGGTGCTGAGATGGGCTTCCTTTATAAACACCAACATGCCCAAGACTGCCAGGAAGGAGAGATGGGATTCCTGCCCAGGGCTGTGATTTGATATTGGCCCCGCCCGAGCCTGGGCAGACGGACTGGTGGCATCTGTCTCCACGTGTGAAAACTGCCTTCAGACCCACTTCAGTGTTTGGGCCAGCTCCACGAACCAGGTGCGAACTCCTGCCCCTCACTCCGTCAGGACCAGTCACACTGTGTCACAGCTTCTGCCAACTTCCTGCATGGTCAGGGCTCAGGCCTGCACCTGAACTGATAGAAGAACTGGGGGAGGCTCTGGCATCAGGGTCAGATACTTCCCTTATGCCAAGATGACCCACACTGCCTGGGCAGCCAGCTCTGCCATTGGGGTGCAAACCCCAAGTGGCCTGAACAGCTGTGGCTCACACCACAACCACCTGCAGCTGGCATGTGGGTGGGGGCCGCTTGGGGCTGGGGGAGCAGACCTGTGGCCACAGGGCAGGGGGTCCTTGGAGCCAAGGACCAAGAGTGACAGCTGGGCCGTGAGGATGCAGAGGCTGAGAAAGGCAGGGGTGGGGTGGGGTGGGCTAGAAGCATGGGGAGAAGCAAGCTCAGAGATGACAGGCCAGGCTTCAGAGCTCAACTCTCTCCTCTGGCCAGCTGCCCTGGACCAAACCCCTGACCTGGGAGTGAATGTTTCCTCACCAGGGACACAGGGTTACCCCATCCATGTCTAGAGGACACATGGCTGGGTCTGGAGTGCAGCAATGGCGCAGAGTGCAGGTTTGGGGCCCTGCCTGCCACAGAGATGGCTCACAGGAAGTGGATTCAGGCCCCCATAACCTGTCCCCCAGGCACAGAGTGCAGGCTCGAGGCCCTGCCTGCCATGGAGATGGTTCACGGGAAGTGGGTCACCTCAGGTGATACGCCCACCTCGGCCTCTCAAAGTGCTGGGATTACAGGTGTGAGCCACCATGTCCAGCCAAAAGCAAGACTTTTAATGACGGTCTTGCAAGATTCAGTGTCTGATAGGCAGGCACACCCAGCATGGTCACAACAAGCAGTTTATCCCCTAGTGTGCAGGTCCCTTCCCCGGTTCCTCACAGGCTGGGTACTATGGGGGTCACCATCTTCCCGGATGTTGCCTATTGGTTGCTGGGTAGGAGCTTTAGGTATTTTCTTTAGGGTTGTCTTGCTGCATTTTGTTGCAGCCCACAGTGCACTGCAATCCTAGTCAGCTCAGGGGCTCTTCAGGTATTTGACTTATGACCTAAGTGGCTGGGCAGGCTGAGAACAGACAAGGCGAGCTATTTGGCAGGCTAGTAAACTTTCATCTTACACTAAACTTCTTTGGTTCAGGTGAGGGCAAGTAAGGTGGGTGGGGGTAAAGTGGGAGAAGTGGAGCATGGCAGGCAACAAGCAGGCATCAGTGATCCAAGCAGGAGCCCAGTACATCCTGTTTCTTCTGTAGTTTGCTGGCCTAAGCTGGTTCAAGGCACTTTGTCTTGGAAATGGACCACTGTATGCATTATTTCCTTCAGTTGTGCAGCTCTGGCATCCAGAGCCAGGGGCAGCCCGAGCCACCACAGGGCCTATGCGGCCTCACCTTCCCCAGAGCCACCCTGGACATCCCCCCACCAGGGGTGAAATCACAGCGGGAGTCAGGGGTGGTGGCAGATACAGGGCTGTCTAGAAGTTTCCAACATTCCATGAGCCAAACCCCAGTGGCCTCCCTGCCTCACTGTTCTGAGCTTGTTTCTCACACACTATCTAGGCACAATTGTACCTGTTGTACTAATCCAGGGAGGAACAGCTCCTGAATCCTGGGCTAGGCTCAAGGTCACTATATCATGGCATAAACATCTGCTTCCCCAGGACCACCAGGCCCAGCCCTGTCCTCTCCCCACGTGGCCACGCTGGCCACAGTGTGGCACTCGTGCTCCGCATGGACAACACCATGCCTTAGCTCTGAGCAGCTTCAGGACACGTGGCCAACACCAAGCCTAGGATCTGAGCGGCTTTAGGACATGCCTGGGGGCAGGGCCCCCACCCCTCCAAGGCCCCAGGGAGGGTCACAGGTGACAATGCCAGCCCCTTGTGCCAGCCCCACAGTGCACACCAGCCCTTGGCATCTCCCGCTAGATGTCCCGCCCCACATCTCCCACAGAGGAGTGCTCCACTAGCGAGTTCCCAAGCACACGCCATCCACACAGGATAAGGATGATGGCCAGGTTCCATCAGGTGTTCACAAGGTGTCGGCACAGCGCTCATCCACACGCCTCACCTCATTCACGCCTCAACAAGCTCCAAGGGCCACTGAGGATGCCTTGGGGAGATGGCCAGAAGCCGGAGCAGGAAAGCCACAAATGGTGCCTGTGGGGAGGCCTGGATCCCAATCAGCGGGCAACATGGGCACCAAGGAGCCAGGGTTGATCCAACAGCCAGAGAGACATTCAGCAGCTCTGACACAGTGCCTCTGGTGGGCGGGCAGCAGCCTCATGACTCCTGCCTGTACACCATGGCCCAATTAAAACAAGATAACAGGTCCTAGGCTCAGGACAGACCAGCACAGCTCAGAGCTGTCTGCCACCACAGATGCCACTTCTCTAATCACCAGGAACTGGTCATAAAAAATAGATCTGATCTGCCTCTAAGAGGTGCCAAGAAAAAATCAATGGCCTGTCCAAAATGCGTTAACCTCACACCCAAGGGCTTCCTGCCACACAGCAACTCAGACAGGAGGATGAAACCCAAAGAGAAAGGACAACAAAAAAGAACACAAACAGCAGTCCAGCTCACCATGGCAGATCCTGGGATGGGCACAGTGCAAGCCCAGCCAGCGCCTGCTCCATTGACACCAGGCGTGTGGGTGGTGCAGGGTGGAGAGGAGCTCAGAGGTGGCCAGTGCAGGCCTGTCAGCAGCATGGCCTCCCTGCCAGGCAAGGGGGTACCCGCAAGAGGGAGGAAAGCCCAGAGAGTTCAGACAGATGAGCCAGAAAACAGGTGTTCTGTGGCGGCAGGAACCACAGGCTTTCATGTTGGACAGAGAACTATGAGGCCCCAGGTGGCACCTCCCCCAGAGGCTGCCCTGCCCTCACCTGCAGCGTGAGCCGCTCCAGCTGTGCCTCCAGCATCCTCTTTTCCTCCTCCAGCCGACTCCGCTCACCCTCCAGCTCCTCAACCTTCAACCTGCAAGGAGAGCGAAATGGTGACCACGTGTCTGTGGTCACCCATGCTGGGAAGTGCCGCCCTCTGGGTGATAAGGAGGTGAAAGGTTAGGAGACCCAGCTATAATGCTTTATTTCTAAATACATGTCTGTGAAGCTCTCAGAGCCCAGCGATGACATGAAGAGAAAATGAGAAAATGTCACAAGTACAGGATGTGGGAGTTCTTGGTGGCTCCTGCTTGGCTGGACAAGCCTGGGCCGAGAAAGTCTCAATCGACCACACCTTGGCTGGAAGCACAAAGAGAACCAGCCCGACGCAGGATGCCTGGGAGTTGGTGTGTCCGTGTCCGTGAGCCACTCCCAGAGGGTGATGTGATGGCAGAGTGCAGGGGACACCACTGCGGAACAGGAAAGGGACCTTAGAATGTCTTCAGAAATGAAGAAAAGAAAGGAAAGGACTGGTACTGCGGGGTGTGGAAGGAGCTGGTAATGGGGAACCACAGAGGCACAATTCAGATGAGAAACAAAAGCAGGCTTCGGGGCAACCCACGGAGAGTTCCCTTTTCCTCTGTGGGCACAGAATGCATAACGAGGCTCCATGACCACAACCAGAATGGGGCCAGTTTTAGTTTACGGTAAGAAGCTGTCTAGTTTTGTCTTTCTAAATCTAATATTTTGAATGGAAAACATATTCATGTGGTTTAAAAATTGGAAAGTCTGTCAAGGCCCATAGTGATAGAAAGATCACTTGACACGGCACAGGGACAGGAATGGGGACAGCTATTCCAGCCTGAGAACTGCCCCAGGGTGCCCCAGCATACCACAACAGCAAGACCGGAGGAAACTAAACTCTTTCCAAGAAACCTAACTGCATCTCTGAAAAAAGATCAAGAAGATTTATACAAATACAAAAATGTCTAGAGCACAACAAGCTAAATTTCACAATGCCTGCCATCCAATCAAAGATTACCAGACGTTTAAAGCAGCAGGAGAACATGGCCAGTAATGAAGAGAAGAACCAATCAACAAACACCTGCCAAGAACAGCACAGAAACCAACACTGGCAAACGGGGACATTAAGACAGTTGTTAAAACTACTGGAAAAAATGGAACAGTTAAGTGCAGAAGTGGAAGAGACACATGTTGAAGTGGAAGCTACAATGTCTCAGATAAACAGGCTGTATGGGATTAATGACAGATTAGAATCTATAATAGAAAAGTTCAGTGTCCTTGAGGGAACAGCAATTGAAACTATCAAAAACAAAAAACAGAGGCTGGGCTCAGTGTCACGTCTGTAATCCCAGCACTTTGGGAGGCCAAGGGAGGTGGATCGCTTGAGGCCAGGAGTCAAAACCAACACGGCCAACATGGCGTAACCCCTTCTCTACTAAAAATAATTAGCCAGGCGTGGTCATGCAGCCCTGTAATCCCAGCTCCTCATGACACCAAGGCGTAAAAATCACTTGAACCCGGGAGGTGGAGGCTGCAGTGAGCCAAGATCACACCACTGCACTCCAGCCTGGGCGAGAGAGCGAGGCTCTGTCTCAAAAATAGGCAAACAAACACAGCATGCCTGTAATCCTAGCTACTGGGGAGGCTGAGGCAGGAGAATCATTTGAATCTCGGAAATGGAGACCATGGTGAGACAAGATCGTGCTATTGCACTCCAGCCTGGGAGGCAGACCAAAACTCCCTCTCAAAAAAAAGAATAAATAAAATGTATGACAACACTATAGGATAAAAATCAACATGATGGCTGTAAGGTGATTATCCTAAATGTCAGAAGGTGAAGTATCACTTGAAGGCAGGTTGTGATCAGCTAAAGATGTATACTAGAGAACCTACAGCAATACCTAAAGTAACAAAGACTTATAGCTAGGACCCCAATTAAGGAAATAAAACATTGGCCAGGCATAGTGGCTCATGCCTGTAATCTAAGCACTTTGGAGGCCAAGGAGGGTGGATCACCTGAGGTCGGGAGTTCAAGACCAGCCTGACCAACATGGTGAAACCCTGTCTTTATTAAAAAAGAAAAAGAAAGGAAATAAAACATAATCAGAAAAACACCAAAACAGATTGTAAAAAGATAAAAAAAAAAAACAGGATAAAGGGAATGAACAAGAGACAGACGAGCAGATAACAGTAAAATGACAAGATCAAAACTAATCATATCGATAATTAAATTAAATGTAAGTAGCCTAACTACCACAATGAAAAGGCAGACACTCAACCTGGATTAAACAGCAACACCCAAGACACCGCTGACAATAACGCACTTTAAATACAAAGATGCAAAAAGGCAGAACATGCCATCACTAAGAAAACCAGCAAGAGAAAGCCAGAGAGGTGACCAATATTGGCAACAGTACATTTCAGAGCACACACTCTTACCAAGAAGGTACCTTACAATAATAAAGAGATCCATTCATCAAGGGAAACTAATAATCCCACACATATATGTACTAATAAAAGAGCTGCAAAAGAAATGAAGCCAAAGCAGCCAGAACTACTGGGAGAAACAGACAGGCCACAATTACAATCGGAGACCTTGACATTACTCTCTCAATAGCTGACAGAGCAACAAGTAAAAAGTGAGGAGGAGAAGGACCACACGATCAGCCAACTTGACCTAATTCTCCTGGATAAACACTTCCACTCTAAGAGCAGAAGGCCCCTTCTTTTCAGGAGCACTTGAACTAGGTACTAAGACCACTTCACACTAAACCATAAAAGAAAGCTCAGATTATTTAGGAATTTCATAATTCTAACTGTGTTATAGGATCATAATGGAATTAAACTAGAAATCAGTACCAAAAAGTCATCTGAAAAATATCACTTACAAAATCATCCAACACCATGAAATTACATAGAGATGGAATGGAACAGGCCAAGAAAAACCTGCACATGACAAGCTCAGAGCATTGCAGAGAGAGATCCAGGGCAACCTCCATACAGGGAGACAGAAGTACGCCTTGTTCACAAGCTGGGAGACTCAGCGGTGTTGGGAACGCACTTCTCTCCCAAATTAATCCACAGAATCAGTAACCTCAGTCAAAATCCCACAGGCCTCTTTGCACAAATTGGCAAGCCGATTCTAAAATTCATATGGAGACGTAATGGACCTAGAAGAGAGAAAATACATTGACAATAGAAAGGTAGGGGCTGCCTCATTTCACCAATTATGTTAAAGCTGCAGTAATCACAACAGCACAGTGCTGGATAAACTGCAAGACAGACAGACCAACGAGATAGAACAAAGTCCAGAAACAGATGCAGAAACACACCAATTTTTGAAAAATACATGAAGGCAATTCAGTGTAGAAAGGGTAGTCTCTTCAACAAATGGTTCTGGAACAACTGGGTGTTCATGGAGGAAATAAAGAATAAAAATCTTGTACGATGATAAAAAATCCTGCTCAATCGTGAACCAAAAATTATGAAGTTACTAAAAGAAAATAGAGGAGAAAATCTTTGTGAATTTGGGACAGCCAAAGATTTCTTAGCTACGATACCTGATCTGGTTTGGCGGTGTCCTCACCCAAATCTCATCTTGAATTGTAGCTCTCATCATTCTCATGTGTTGTGGGAGGGACCCGGTGGGAGATAACTAAATCATGGGGGCAGTGTCCCCCATACCGATCTTGTGGTAGTGAGTCTCATGAGATCTGATTTTATAAGTGTCTCCCCTTTTGCTTGGCTCTCAGTCTCTCTTGTCTGCCACCACGTAAGATGTGCCTTTTGCATTCTGCCAAGATTGTGAGGCCTTCTCAGCCATGTGGAACTGAGTCCGTTAAACCTCTTTTTCTTTATAAATCACCCAGTCTCAGGTATGTCTTTATCAGCAGTGTGAAAACAGACTAATACCCAAAGCATCATATATAACAGAAAAATTTGAAAAATTGGACTTTATCATAAAAAACTTCTCTTCAAAACACTTGATGAAGAGAATGAAAAGACAAGACAAGATTGGGAGAAAATATTTGGAAAGCAGATAATCTGATAAAGGCCTTGTATCCAGAACATATAAAGAACTCTCCCAAACTCAACAATAAGAAAAATAATCAGATTTAAAAATGCACAAAAAAACAGGTGCTTTACCAAAGAAGATCTATGGATGACAAGTGAACTGAATGAAAAGATGCTCAACGTCATTAGTCACTTGGGGGCGGGGAAGGGGAAGGCCACAGTGAGACACCACTGCAAACCTTTTGGAAGGCCGAAATAAAAACTTTAAAAAAAATTAGCCAGGTGTGGTGACATGCACCTGCAGTCCCAGCTACTCAGGAGGCTGAGGTGGCAGGATCGTTTGGAGCTCAAGAGTCAGAGGCTGCAGAGAGCTATGATCCCACCACTGCACTCCAGCCTGGGTGACAGAGCAACATCCTGTCTCTAAAAGGAATGTTTGGCTGAGTATGGTGGCTCACTCCTGTAATCCCAGCACTTTGGGAGGCTGAGGCGGGTGGATCACAAGGTCAGGAGTTCAAGACCAGTCTGGCCAAGATGGTGAAACCCCATCTCTACTAAAAATACAAAATAAATTAGCCAGGCATGGTGGTGGGCACCTGTAATCCCAACTACTCAGGAGGCTGAGGCAGACAACTGCTTGAACCTGGGAGGCAGAGGCTGCAGTGAGCGGAGATCGTGCCACTGTACTCCAACCTCGGTGACAGAGCGAGACTCTGCCTCAAACAAAAAAAGTTAAAAACCTAATAATAAAGGGACTAAGTAAAAAGACTGCTACATACTGTTGAGAAGCTGCACTTCAACCACACAGGAAGATGGGCAACCTCGGAACACATGACACATGTGACCAGCAGCCACTACACACTGGGTGTTTACCCAAGAGAAAATGAAGATTTCCACACGGAACTGTATTTATGATATACAGCAATTTCATTCAGAATAGCCAAAAACCAGAAAAATTCCAAGTGTCCATCGCAAGGGAACATATAAACTATGGGGTCTCCATATGACAGAACACAGCTCAGCAGTGAAGATGATGCAGCTGTGTGCCCAGTGATC